CTAAGAGAGCCCAAAAGTACGCCGTTCTTTTTTTTCTTCAGGTTTAAGGGAACATTTTGCGCGCAAAAATTTGATTTTTTGATCATGGTATTTTTAAGATCTATATAGCTTAGATCCGGAAACTATTAAACAGGAAATTACAGCGCGGAGGTGAAATGCCCGGCAGAGGGATCAAGGGATTTATGGGAGGATTAACTATGCCCAAAGGTATGCAGCATTTCTTGTACTTTTTTGTACTTTCTTGATCTTCCTTCAGATGAGAACTAAAATATTTAATTTAATTTAATTCATCCCTTTCATTTGTCAATGCCATTTTTAAGTTTTTCGTCTGTAACTTTTAAAGTTTTTTAAAAATAAGAATAAAATTTTGGTTTTTGTACATTGAGGGAGATTCAGTCGGCTATACCGTTTGGGGATATTTATTTTGATATTTTGTGTTTTGTATTGATTAGAGTAGAGTCAGGAAGTGCACTTAACTTTTATCAAGTGGTCAGTTGAAGGAGAATACAGGGATAGGAAAAACCCCGACCCCAATACCGGCGAGCTGAGCACAGAGTATAGTGCACTGAAACTCCGATTCCCTCTCCAACCGAGGCTGTTGCCCGCAAACAATTTGCAGCCGTACCATTACAATACCAAAGATTATTTGGAACCCGCTCGACACTCCATTAATTAACCATACGGACGAAATCAATCGTTTATCAAAACAAATTAAATATGGGCACTTCCACCAAAAGGTCCACCAAGCCACATGATTTTGCCGCCATATTAGTTTCTAATTAGTTGGATCCTGAGCTAAACTAAAAATTTGGAGTATAGTTTGATATTAAAAAACATTATGGCAAACCCCAATAATATACACAAAAGTTAGTTTTTAACTATTTTCGCATAGAGCTTGGGAAGAGTGAAAAGAAAAGCCCATAATTAAAATTAAAATCCATTGTTTTACAATTTTTTTTCAACTTTAAAGGTGTGCAAATGTCCCGAACGACATTTTGGAAGTGCCCATATTTAAAAACTGAGGGAATTCGACTTTCACCATTTAACTGGACACGCATCCCTAGTGTTAGCAATTGTAATAATAATTATCTTAACTGTATATTTGATAAGAAAAATACGAAGGCAGTTGCAAGCCATAGCATTACCCAGCGGTATGCTTAATATTTAAGGTTGTAAACATAATAAACAAATGTTATAAAAATGTTTAATGTTATAAAATAAATAAATTCATTAAAATGTTAAAACGCAATAATTGCCAGCCGTGGGAAGGTGTTTTTGAGAATAAATAAAATAAATTGTAATTAACACATACACCTAATCTTGCCGGCCCTTGCCAGAATGTTCAGACGAACACTAATAAAAATAAATATAATACTTTATGAGCTCTGTGCATGTCATGTGACAATTGTAAATCGACACAGAGCCATAAACTATGACCTGTAATTGTAAGCCCTACAGGGAGCGGTATTAGCACTTGTAATCTGTAAGTGCAGGCCACTTGAGCCTAACCGAAGATAATCACTTAAGATGTTTCTCACACTGCACCAAGGGTTCCTGTGCGGGGGTCCAATGATAACTCTCCCGATCAGGCAGACTCTGCGTAGGCCATAGATAAGACCAGAATTTAGAAAATAAAATTCAGTTTTAATACAGAACTCAACTGAAAAGGTTGTTTTATTTAATTTAATTTAATTCATCCCTTTCATTTGTCAATGCCATTTTTAAGTTTTTCGTCTGTAACTTTTAAAGAAAACTTGTACAAAATGTACAAAAAATGTGCACTGATGCGCTCAGCAAAAAGTCTGACGAATATTATTCCAAACTAATAATTTCCAAGTCATTTTAGGCCCATAAAGTGCTGAGATTAAGTGCCAGTGCATATGTAGGAATAAAGTGGACTTTCAACTATTAGGGAGAAAAAAATATAGGTTTATATACAAGTGTAAGTGAACGCAAAAGCAGTCGGACATATACATTGCTACAACCACAAATAATAACATTTAAAGCGAACGATAATGTATGTACATAAATATGTAATCTCAAGCAGATTAAAATATATAACTGAAAAAAATTAAATTTCAAAGTTTAGTATCAAACAAAAAGGTCGATCAGAGAACCTTTCGAAAGTTGGCGGATTGCTGTAGTCAAAAGTAGTTTTTCGACAAAAACCAAGTAATGGCCGATGTGTGTCAGTGCTAGATGATCGCAGGTTTTCACTTTTAATTATTCTCAATCAAAATAATGAGGAGAAACCCAAGCAACACTGTCCTAACCAGGTTACAGCTGCTAATGTTGCTGCTCCAGCTGCTAACCGTAAAAATCAAAGTGGTAGATAGCCACAAAGTTACGGTAAGATTGTTACCTGCTTAAAGTTGTAAAAGTATAAATAGGCCAATAAAAACTAGTACTAGCTAATTCACCAATTTAAGTATTTTTTACATCATTCTGGATGGTCAAACACAGAAAATGAAAATAACTTTGTTTCATAGTCGGCTACCATTAATGACCAACAAAATTAATTTTTATGGCTAGCATTTAAGTCACCTTACTAAACGGGAGTGGTGGAGAGGTAATTTTCTGCGCTTGATTTCATCCTGAACAAAAGACATACAATCTTTAACAATTTCAAAGCTTAATTTGTAATATTAAATATACAAACATGTATAAATAGGGGAGTGTAGGGTAATGTGACGAAGTCGACGAATCTCATATATGACGTCTCGACAATAATTCCAAATAAATGTAGTCGTCTCCTCTTATCGTGACGACAATGCACACTGGGCCATCCGATCCGATTTTTGGCCAAATATACGATTTTTTTTTAAAAGAAAATGACCAATATAAGTTGGAATTCCTTTTCATAATACATTAAACTAATTTATGCCAGAATTTTAAAGAATTCGAGCAAGTCGATTTCTTTTACGGTATTTTCCAATGGGGAAACTCATCAAATATTGATGGAAATTAAAAAAAATCTTGAAGCCAAAGATGCTGATGTAGCTCTGTTCGACTCTTCACGAAACTTGTAGATGTGATTACTTTCAACCAAAAACAATAAATTATAAGTCGTATGTCTTACTTGTTTCCTAAAATAAATGTATTTGTTAATTTGTACGGCTTATTCTGGCAAATGAGTACGTTGCTTTTCAAGTGCCTTTGAGTGCCATCCCCAAATCAGTTCATTCCTTCAAAAAAAATTTTTGATCAATTTACTAAAAGCGTATACCGCCGACTCGATGCGGTTTTGCCTTAGTTTTCGGTAATTAAAGTTTTAATTCAAGGCTTAAATCGAAGTCGAGCCATTTTGATGAGCTTTGCTAAGAGAGCCCAAAAGTACGCCGTTCTTTTTTTTCTTCAGGTTTAAGGGAACATTTTGCGCGCAAAAATTTGATTTTTTGATCATGGTATTTTTAAGATCTAAATAGTTTAGATCCGGAAACTATTAAACAGGAAATTACAGCGCGGAGGTGAAATGCCCGGCAGAGGGATCAAGGGATTTATGGGAGGATTAAGTATGCCCAAAGGTATGCAGCATTTCTTGTACTTTTTTGTACTTTCTTGATCTTCCTTCAGATGAGAACTAAAATATGACTTATCTGGACTATGCAAATATAAATGTAGCATACATTTGTGATGATTTCAGAATATGTCAAATTAACAACAAACAAATTTAAAAAGGGGCTGTCCATATATTACGTAATCACCTAGGGGGGGGAGGGGTTCATTGAAATGATTATGTTTGATTACATGGGGAGGGGGGGTCTTGCACAATGATTACGTAATCATTTTATATACATTTTTTTATTTAAAGAATTTATTTAAAAACTTTTTTCCTTTAATTATATCTACAAACTTAGATAGGAAAGCAGAGAAAACATTTTTTTAGTGGCTGGGCGGCGAAAAAGAAAATGTTTAGTGGTTCAATCACACGAAGGACGCGAAGACCTGGAATGGCTTGACGAAGAGTATGTTGGAGATAATTTCAGCGTAGACGAACCGAATGTGTCATTTATAAACAATATATAAGATTGGGTTGCATCTCCGTTTGAATCCACAGATTAAAACAAAAAAATTTTATTCTTGGGATTACGTAATCATTGGGGGGGGTTTGTTTATTGAATGATTACGTTTGATCACCAGGGGGGAGGGGGTCAAAAATCACCAAAAACGTGATTACGTACTATATGGACAGCCCCAAACCATATTTTTTAAATAATTTTTTTTTAAATAATTTGATTATAAAAATCTTAAGTGCAAACAAGAATAGCAATTAAAAATTTTTTTTTTTAAATCGATTGTTTGATAAACGTTGATGTGGGAGCCTCCGAAAGTGTCAGTTTTTAACGGTTCATAAATCTTAAACGATATAATATTTATAAAAAATTAAAAAGTAAAACCAATATACTGGGGCAATTCCACCACATAGGGGGGTAAAATCGCCACACCACTGGGGCTCTGTGCATGTCATGTGTCTGTGCATGTCATGTGACAATTGTAAATCGACACAGAGCCATAAACTATGACCTGTAATTGTAAGCCCTACAGGGAGCGGTATTAGCACTTGTAATCTGTAAGTGCAGGCCACTTGAGCCTAACCGAAGATAATCACTTAAGATGTTTCTCACACTGCACCAAGGGTTCCTGTGCGGGGGTCCAATGATAACTCTCCCGATCAGGCAGACTCTGCGTAGGCCATAGATAAGACCAGAATTTAGAAAATAAAATTCAGTTTTAATACAGAACTCAACTGAAAAGGTTGTTTTATTTAATTTAATTTAATTCATCCCTTTCATTTGTCAATGCCATTTTTAAGTTTTTCGTCTGTAACTTTTAAAGAAAACTTGTACAAAATGTACAAAAAATGTGCACTGATGCGCTCAGCAAAAAGTCTGACGAATATTATTCCAAACTAATAATTTCCAAGTCATTTTAGGCCCATAAAGTGCTGAGATTAAGTGCCAGTGCATATGTAGGAATAAAGTGGACTTTCAACTATTAGGGAGAAAAAAATATAGGTTTATATACAAGTGTAAGTGAACGCAAAAGCAGTCGGACATATACATTGCTACAACCACAAATAATAACATTTAAAGCGAACGATAATGTATGTACATAAATATGTAATCTCAAGCAGATTAAAATATATAACTGAAAAAAATTAAATTTCAAAGTTTAGTATCAAACAAAAAGGTCGATCAGAGAACCTTTCGAAAGTTGGCGGATTGCTGTAGTCAAAAGTAGTTTTTCGACAAAAACCAAGTAATGGCCGATGTGTGTCAGTGCTAGATGATCGCAGGTTTTCACTTTTAATTATTCTCAATCAAAATAATGAGGAGAAACCCAAGCAACACTGTCCTAACCAGGTTACAGCTGCTAATGTTGCTGCTCCAGCTGCTAACCGTAAAAATCAAAGTGGTAGATAGCCACAAAGTTACGGTAAGATTGTTACCTGCTTAAAGTTGTAAAAGTATAAATAGGCCAATAAAAACTAGTACTAGCTAATTCACCAATTTAAGTATTTTTTACATCATTCTGGATGGTCAAACACAGAAAATGAAAATAACTTTGTTTCATAGTCGGCTACCATTAATGACCAACAAAATTAATTTTTATGGCTAACATTTAAGTCACCTTACTAAACGGGAGTGGTGGAGAGGTAATTTTCTGCGCTTGATTTCATCCTGAACAAAAGACATACAATCTTTAACAATTTCAAAGCTTAATTTGTAATATTAAATATACAAACATGTATAAATAGGGGAGTGTAGGGTAATGTGACGAAGTCGACGAATCTCATATATGACGTCTCGACAATAATTCCAAATAAATGTAGTCGTCTCCTCTTATCGTGACGACAATGCACACTGGGCCATCCGATCCGATTTTTGGCCAAATATACGATTTTTTTTAAAAGAAAATGACCAATATAAGTTGGAATTCCTTTTCATAATACATTAAACTAATTTATGCCAGAATTTTAAAGAATTCGAGCAAGTCGATTTCTTTTACGGTATTTTCCAATGGGGAAACTCATCAAATATTGATGGAAATTAAAAAAAATCTTGAAGCCAAAGATGCTGATGTAGCTCTGTTCGACTCTTCACGAAACTTGTAGATGTGATTACTTTCAACCAAAAACAATAAATTATAAGTCGTATGTCTTACTTGTTTCCTAAAATAAATGTATTTGTTAATTTGTACGGCTTATTCTGGCAAATGAGTACGTTGCTTTTCAAGTGCCTTTGAGTGCCATCCCCAAATCAGTTCATTCCTTCAAAAAAATTTTTGATCAATTTACTAAAAGCGTATACCGCCGACTCGATGCGGTTTTGCCTTAGTTTTCGGTAATTAAAGTTTTAATTCAAGGCTTAAATCGAAGTCGAGCCATTTTGATGAGCTTTGCTAAGAGAGCCCAAAAGTACGCCGTTCTTTTTTTTCTTCAGGTTTAAGGGAACATTTTGCGCGCAAAAATTTGATTTTTTGATCATGGTATTTTTAAGATCTAAATAGTTTAGATCCGGAAACTATTAAACAGGAAATTACAGCGCGGAGGTGAAATGCCCGGCAGAGGGATCAAGGGATTTATGGGAGGATTAAGTATGCCCAAAGGTATGCAGCATTTCTTGTACTTTTTTGTACTTTCTTGATCTTCCTTCAGATGAGAACTAAAATATGACTTATCTGGACTATGCAAATATAAATGTAGCATACATTTGTGATGATTTCAGAATATGTCAAATTAACAACAAACAAATTTAAAAAGGGGCTGTCCATATATTACGTAATCACCTAGGGGGGGGAGGGGTTCATTGAAATGATTATGTTTGATTACATGGGGAGGGGGGGTCTTGCACAATGATTACGTAATCATTTTATATACATTTTTTTATTTAAAGAATTTATTTAAAAACTTTTTTCCTTTAATTATATCTACAAACTTAGATAGGAAAGCAGAGAAAACATTTTTTTAGTGGCTGGGCGGCGAAAAAGAAAATGTTTAGTGGTTCAATCACACGAAGGACGCGAAGACCTGGAATGGCTTGACGAAGAGTATGTTGGAGATAATTTCAGCGTAGACGAACCGAATGTGTCATTTATAAACAATATATAAGATTGGGTTGCATCTCCGTTTGAATCCACAGATTAAAACAAAAAAAATTTTATTCTTGGGATTACGTAATCATTGGGGGGGGGGTTTGTTTATTGAATGATTACGTTTGATCACCAGGGGGGAGGGGGTCAAAAATCACCAAAAACGTGATTACGTACTATATGGACAGCCCCAAACCATATTTTTTAAATAATTTTTTTTTTAAATAATTTGATTATAAAAATCTTAAGTGCAAACAAGAAAAGCAATTAAAAATTTTTTTTTTTAAATCGATTGTTTGATAAACGTTGATGTGGGAGCCTCCGAAAGTGTCAGTTTTTAACGGTTCATAAATCTTAAACGATATAATATTTATAAAAAATTAAAAAGTAAAACCAATATACTGGGGCAATTCCACCACATAGGGGGGTAAAATCGCCACACCACTGGGGCAATTTCGTCACCTGAAAATGTAGGGAATTTAACGCCTGTAAATATGCTACACTGATCAAGCGTACCATTTTTGTTGACGTCCTATATTTGTTTTGCTGCTGCCGGTAGTCTGTTCGTTAGCCAGCTCGTCAAATAAAAAAATATGTATTTAAAATAGGTGCCAATTTACCCTAATCATAGGGTGGCGAAATTTCCCCAGACAGTACTTTTTTAGAAATAATTATTTTTCTCCCGAAATTAGGCGCGAAGTTAAAAATCACTAACGCAGAAATGCACATTATAGCACTGTGTATTATATAAAAAAAACCTGTATCTTATCCCTTTTCAATTGTGGCATAAAGAAAAAATTCCGTCGAGATCTAAATGTAGCTTTTGAAAGATTAAAACATATTTATTTAATTATCTTGGCCTTCTGTGCAAAAAAAATGCATTGGTGCATCCTTCTAACTGTCCAAGGAAAGAAACTACATAAATTTGGCAAAAAAATTAACTTTCTGGCCCAGTGTGCAATGTAAGAAGTCGCGTAATTTGTTCATCGCGCAATTTTTTCTAAAAATGTGGTGCGCAAACTAGCAAACTTATTCAATTTATTTGTGTCTCAGTAGTGCCAGAGCGAAGACGGGTGGAAAATAAAATCAGATAAATATATGCTTGTATAAATGGGAGGTTTTGGTACTTGACGATTTTTTTCGGTTGACCCGTTTGAGAGTGATACCGTTTTTGCTCCAAGTGTACCTTGTAGGGTATTGTGATGAACTTTTTGTAGGGTATGGTGACGATCTTTTTTTTATTCAAGAATTTGAATTTGTGATCGTTGATTTTATGTAAAACAAGAGAGAACGCTATAGTCGGGTGCCCCGACTATCAGATACCCGTTACTGAACTAAAGGGAGTGCGAAGGAGATGGAGATAAAAACTTTGATCCGCCGGAACTTTTTAACGAATGGTCCGATTTAAAAAATTTCTTTTACATTTCGATAGGTGTTTATCAATAAACACCATAAAACTGCATTTTTACTTTTCCGAAATATTGAAATTTTTAAAATCGTATATACGCGATTGTGGGCGTTAGAGGGGGCGTGGCACCCTTTTGATACAAACTTGCGCTGCGTAGGAACTCCTAGAATCTATAGTTTCCGAGATCTCAGCGTTCATACGGACAGACAGACGGACAGACTGACGGATAGACGGACATGGCTATATCGACTCGGCTAGTGCAATTTTGTTGTGTATATTTATACCTATTGAAATGTAGAAGACATTTTTCAAATCGGACCATTCAATAAAAAGTTATACGCAATCAAAAAAATGGTATATATCCATCTCCCTCGCACTCCCTTTAGCCGTGACGGGTATTAGTCGATAGTCGGGACAACAACCCGACTATAGCGTTCTCTCTTGTTTTAGATCTGGTCGAACAAAAAAACGGAAGATTTTTTCGCTGCATTCGCTTTGCTAACCAAAATGATCAATTTAGGCAACCAGAACGGTAAAGTTAAGGTGGGATAGTGTGAGGTTAATGCGATGTTAGGTTGCGGTTAAGAAGGTATTGATAGATTAGGGTAAAAGTAATGAAGAGGAAGGGGAAGGAAAGAAAGGTAAGGTTCGTTTGGTTTTTGGCGGTGATAAGGTGGGTCAAGGTTGTCACCTTGACAACAAGTTTTATTAGGAAAAAGTGATGTAGTAAGTAAATATAGTAAGGAAACATTTTATTTCAGGTGAGACTAAAGTTTGGTTAGCTAAGGAGAGGAAAAGGCGCTTAAGGCGCTTAAAAAGTGTGCCAAGCGTGAGATTAAAATAGGAGATAGTTGGGTTGGTAATATGGGGGATAGTGCCGGGTTAAGGTAAGGTAATAAAAGGAAATATTAGTGCGTTCTAGATGTTTACTGTTTACTGTTTAGCTAAGGCTGCGCGGAAAAAAAAAACCAGCAATATATGCTTTAACAATTTTGTATTGTTCATTAAATGGACGGTTAAATAAATAAGTGTAATTTTTTTTAGATTAAAACATGACTTTTTACTTTTTGTCATTCAGAAATTGTCAAAAGACTTAAAAGTTTTAAGTTAAAACTTCACTTTTCATCACTCAAAATTGTTAAAGGACTAGTAAACGATGAGAAATCATGAATTCCATAAGGATCCAATAAGCGAGAGAGAAGCCCTACTTGCTGCGATGTGTTTTTATAGAAAAAACAAGAGAAAACGCTATAGTCGGGTTGGTGTCCCGACTATCTAATACCCGTCACTCAGCTAAAGGGAGTGCGAGGGAGATGGATATATAAAATTTTGATTGCGCGTAACTTTTTAATGAATGGTCCGATTTTAAAAATGTTTTGTACATAGGTATAAATATACACAACAAAATTGCATTTAAATTTCTCGGAAATCTTTGAAGGTGTGTGCGCCAGACACATTTTAAAAACGTTAGTGGGCGATTGTTGGCGTAAGAGAAGTCGTGGCGCTCTGAAATAAGCCCAAGAATATGTGTGGGATATCTCAACCTTCTAGCTTTTTTTGTTTCCGAGATCTCAGCGTTCATACAGACAGACAGACGGACATGGCTAGATCGACTGTGCTAGTGACCCTGATCAAGAATATATATACTTTATGGGGTCGGAAACGCTTCCTTCTAACTCTGTTACATACTTTTGCACGAATACAATATACCCTTTTACTCTACGAGTAGGTTAGGTTAGGTTAGCCTGGCACACTTAGACCTCTGTGGGTCCATTGTGGTACCGTATGATCTCTATTTTTGGGTCCCCTATCCGTTAAGGGTCAGCCTGTAGGTTGGTCGATCAGCAAGTCCCCCATCCGCAGGATTTAATAAAAGAGCTTAGACTCTTCAGATTAATCTGCGAAATTTCGGTCAGGTCATTTATGAAAGGATATC